GTGTGGCCGAACCAGGCTTTTGTACAGCTGGAGCTTCACGGCTCTTCTGAAATTCTGAAGAAGGGTCTAGGCCCGAAACGTCAGCCTTCCTGCTCCTCTGATGCTGCTTGGCCTGCTGGGTTCATCCAGTTCTGCACCTTGTTATCTCAGATTCTCCAGCATCTGCAGTTCCTGCTATCTCTGGGTATCTATCATCCTGCTTTAAGGAAAATGATTTCAAGTTGAAATCAAATCTTTCTTTTCTGCTTTGGCAATATAGAAAAATGTCCACAAAACAGTTTGAAGATAAAAGATTGCAAAATATCTTTTATAAACTCAGAATATAATAGTCAATGAAATACTTTTGAATTGCAATAGCTATTGTGATGTAGGGAAATACAGCAATTTGCACAGTAAGGTGTTGCAACCAAGGAGATAAATGATCAGATCATTTATTTTGGTGATATTATTTGAGAAATAAAAATTAAACAAGACACCAGGAGAATGATCCTGCTCTTTCAATCGCAGCAAGGAATCTTTTATGTTCATCTGAGGGGGCCTTGAATGAATGTTTCATTGCAAAGATCGCACCTCATAAGATGCAACACTCCCTTAACACTGTATTAGAGTGATAGCTGAGATTTACAAGTTCTTGGAGTGGGACTTGAATATACAAATCTCCGGAACTCAAATGCAAGAGTGCTTCCTCTTTGAGCCAAAGCTGATACCTAATTGAAAATATTTCGTATTACATAATTTCTCGGCTTATATATTTTAACAACTGCAAAGGAAGATGTTTACTTTCTTGTTAACTATTTAACAGCAAAGGAGATAATTGTAGAAATTTCATTATCATGGCAGTCACAACTCTGGTTTAGCTCAGCATTCCTGTATTCCTAGTTTTTGGAAATTCTGAAGCTTTGAATCATTTAGTATACTGTCTTTGTGCCAAATCTTTGAACGATCTTTTCAAATGGCATGGTTTTCCTGCTGCTTCCCCATGACCTTTGAAATGTTTCCTTTGTTAAGTATTTATTTAATACTCTTTGGAAAGCATTATTGAATTAACTTTCACCACCCTTTCAGACATTGCATTTTGGATAATAACAATCTGTGTCCTGTGGTCACTGGCCTCCTGCCAGAGAGCATAGTTTCTTCCTATCTGCTATTCAATACACTTTAATTTTGAACAACTTTATCAAATCTCCCATTAGCTTTCTCTGCTCTAAGGAAATCATCAGCTTCTCATCCCTCCACATAACTGCAGATCCTCAACCTTGATACTATAATATTGCAAATGCATTGTACAATAATACAACTGTAAAAATGGCCCATATTAGCAATGCTACCAGTCTTTCTTGGTGCTAAAATAAACTTTGTACAATGCATAAAAAAGTTTTCCAACAATATTCTCCAAGCTACATTTTACAAAAATTAAATCTCAACAGTAAAACTTCGTTAGTTGACCTGCTCACGCAAATCTTGGGATTCTTTTTCTTAAATTTATACAAATTATTTAAATTATCTTTAATTTGGTCTTCAAGCTGGATGTTCATTCAAATTAGCTTCATGTCTAATGTGAAAAATCATGGTTAGTACACAATTTAATCTTACAAAGCAGCAAGATACAACATTCAAATCCTTGGTCTGTGCCTACAAAGGTGCAACGATTCTGGAGAAGGAGGAATGTTTTAAAAAGCTAGGATTTCTGCTCTAGTTTGTCATCCACTGACTTCTGATGAACACTGAACATGTATAGATAACACCCATTTTTGTGGGAATATCTTTTGCAGTGAGCTGTTGATACTTTCTAAGTATGATGCCGATTAGAAGAGAAATCAAATGGTTGCCAGCCTGCACGGAACTGCAGGGTCAGCAACTTTAGGAAAGACTTGCAAAACTTAAGGTGGTATAGGAACTGAAAGGGGAATGTGATTATAAATGGAATAGCATGTTTCTTTCATGACTTCCAATCTTTGTGAAGTGTAATTGTATCCCATACCTAGCACAGTGGTGGAGTGTGCTAAACAAAAATACAACAATAGAGTAGGGGCAGCAAGAGGCATGAAATAGCTCGAAGAAAGAGCTTACCTAGAGAATTAGTCTTCTTAATGCAGTTTTAGTGGTGTGCCTACAACTCAGTTACACAACAGTTCAGATGCTTATGGCTCATTATCATTTAAACATTTTGAAAGATTAAGACCTGAGTAGCCGGTGAATATAAAGTTATTTTGCCTCTGCAAATTCTGCCCTGGCATTGGATATCATGGAGTGTGGCATTAAATGATGGGTTCCTTCAGACAAACTACAATATATTCTCCTGGAAATGAATGGGATTTGCTCCATAAAACAGTAAAATAGCATATGATGTATGTATTATTGAACTGTACAGGATCCTGTACTCAAGGCCCAACATCAATGCATTTTCAGAAGAATAAAAGAGACAATTGAAACAATAGCCTTTAGAAGAGATCCTATGTGGTGGTACAATAGAGATCACAACCAAATGATGCACAGAAAAATCTTGCTGTCCCTTTAGCCATTCATCACAAAATCAGAACTAAAATCTCTCTTCCGTCCCTAAGTAATCTTTCATGATGAATATTAACGCAGATGACTTACTTGAAAAAAGGACTGCACACAAAAAATTCCAAAGCATTCTAGGTTCTTTCCTCCTTCATCCGTAATCAACCTTCACTCTTAACGGGATTATCAGTTTAGCAAATAAAAATTGAGGTGAAACATTATTTTTAAAAGTTGACATCTGGGAAATGTTTGCATTAGTCAAAGGTAAAAAGGTTCCCTTTGGCTAAAACACAGTATTCCTACTAAAAGAAATTTTGCCATTATAGCTTTCTGATTCAATGGAAGAAACTGCACTAATATCTCCCGAAATGAACATGGTTCACGTGTTCAGTTTTAACAGCTAGAACCTTATTTGGTTATCGTCTTGGATGATCTGCAGACCCTGCACTGTAAGTAATTCTTTTGAACGCTGCTGTAAATTAGAAAGAAAAATCAGAAACCAAGCTTGAATTAAATGGTAGCTTAATTTTACTGCACTAACCACTTTTCTGCAAAGAACCCTCAATGCTGCAAAAACATTCTATTACCATCACACACAACAGAAGGTCAATTAAATAAAAAACTCTGGATTTACATCTTTTCTCCTCAAGTTGACACGTCAGCCATCTGTTTTTACTCATTTACTTCTACATCAATGTTAGTTTGACAATGAATCAGAATCTACATTGCTCATAGTTACGCCACTTGCCACTTTTACTTTATGTTTTAGTTGTCTTGTGGAGTAGAATTCTGCTGACTGCTGTGCAGAAATTCTTGTGATGCATTTGGCATTATCAGAAATTCACTCACTGTACAGCAAAATAACTATTCTCAGAGCTACATCAGCATCAGAACAAATTGGTGAGGGAGGAAAAGGAAGAAGATAAAACTTAAGGAAATAAGGCAACAGCAAATTCTTTGCAGAATGGCAAGGGGAAAGTGGATGACAATCGGTGTCGGGGCTTTACGAGTCCATCTGTATCTATGCTATTAATCCAAATTCACAGATCAACATGATTTTCCCACAGATGATCAGCATAAATTCCTTCAATTTACAATATAAATACTGGACAAATTTATTGCAAGAAACCTGGGTACTGCTGCATTTTCAATTTAACTGTGTGTCATGAAACTACATCAATGTAGTTGAGCATAAGATCATAAAACATAGGAACAGAAGTAGGCCATTTAGCCCATCAAGACTGTTCTGCCATTCAATGAGATCATGGCTGATCTGATAATCCTTATCTCCACTTCCCTGCCATTCCCCATTACCCTCAATTCCCTTACTGATTAGAAATCGATCTCAGCTTTGAATATAATTAATAACCCAGTCTCAACAGCCCTCAGTGGTAAAGTATTCCACAGATTTACTACCCTCTGAGAGAAGCAATTTTTCCCCTCATCTCTTTCTTAAATGTGAGATCCCTTAGTCTGAAATTATGTCCTCTGGTTCTAGGCTCTCCCACAAGGGGAAACAACCTTTTGGTATCTACCCTGTCAAGTTCCCCTAAGATCACTGCATGCTTCAATAAGATCACTGTTCATTCTTCTAAACTTAATTGAGTACAGGCTCAACCTACTCATAAGGCAGTCCCTCCATCCCTGGGTTCAACCTAATGAAACTTCCATGGACTATCTCAACACCAGTGTATCTTTCTTTTAAGATAAGGAGCCCAAAACTAGTCAGAGTATTCCAGCTGTGGTCTGACTAGTGTCTTGTATAGTTTTAGCAAGACCCCTCAATATTTATACTCCATTCCCTTTGAAATACAGGCCAATAAAACATTTGCCTTTCATACTATCTGCTGGACATACATCATAGTTTTCTGTGATCTGTACACCAGGACTGCCAAATCTCTGTTTGGTGCAGCATTCTGCAGTCGTTCTCTATTTAAATAATATTCAGCTCCTCGATTCTTCCTGCCAAAAGTGCATTATCTCACATCTTCCAACATTATATGCCATCTGTTCGATTTTTGTTCACTTGCTTAACCTGCATTTGTGTCATCCTCACCACTTGCCTTCCCACCTGTTTTTTGCGTTAGCACAAACCTAGCTACAATACATTCAGTTTCCTCATCCAAGACATTACATTTATTGTAAATAATTGTTGTCCCAGCATTGATCCCTGTGGCACACCACTAGTCGCAGGGTGCCGTCTTGAAAATGTCTCCTTTCTCCCAACTCTCTCTTTTATTAGTTAGTCAGTCCTCTATCCATGCCAATATACTACCTCTAACACTATGGGCTCTTATTTTGTTAAGTAGCATTATGTATGGTACCTTATCAAATGCCTTTTGAAAATCCTCATATATTATATCCATTGCTTTTCCTTCACGCATCCCTGCTTGTTACCACCTCAAAGAATTTTAATAAATTTGTCAGGCAGGATTTTCCCTTTGGGAAGCCACACTGATTCTGCTTGATTTTATTATGCATCCCTAAACGCTCTGCAATTTAATCTTTATATCAGACTCTAGCATTTTTCCCATGACAGATGTTAAGTCAACCAGCCTTCAGTGACTCTTTTTTTAAATCTCTTTCCCTTTCTAAGTAAAGGCGCTACATTGGCAGTTTTCCAATCTGCTGGGACTTTTCCAGAATCTAAGGATTCTTTTAGACAATGTTATCTTTGGACTTACTGTTCATTTTTATAGATTTCAAGAAGCTCTTGCTGTATGGTATGATATACCCATGTACAATTTCTGTCAGTTTTTACTGGTCTTCTAAGCTGGCATGCCTGCAGCTGTTCTTCATGGAACCACAGAGCACAGATGAAGGTCATTTGTCCCACAGATAACTATGTCTTTGGAAGAACTATCCAATTAGTCCCAGTGCCCTGTTCTTCCTTGATTACCTCACAAAATGTTTTGCTTTTCAAGTATAACTTCAATTGCCACTTTAAAGTTATGAGTCAAACTACTACCACTGGATTTTCTGGTAATGTCTTCAAGATCATAACAACTGTCTGGAACTTATTATTATACTATCCCCATAACCCCATGTTTACTATGGCTAACGCGCCTAACCTGCACATCTTTGGGCTGTGGGAGGAAATTGAAGCACCTGGCAGAAATCCATGCAGACATCAAGAGAACATGCAAACTCCACACAGACCGACACCCAAAGCTAGAATCGAACCTGTGTCCCTGACGCTGTGTGGCAGCAGTGCTAACCACTGTGCCACCGTGCCATCTTCTAGTTTATATACAGGGTTTTACTGTCAATGAACTAGCTACCAGTACTTTTCAGGTCCATTTACTACAAATATAAATTAATTTAAATACCAAAAGTTAGCTCCTTTCCAATTATTTAGCAAAGGGTTCTGTACATTAACAAATTTGGAATATTTGGCTTTCAACAAATCTTGTGCACAAAAGACTGCACAGTACACATGAGACTGACTCTAAGAAGCACTTCTGGGCTGAATGATCTGCGTTTTTTTTTAAAGAAAGGTGAACTAGCAAGTTCTAAAAGGTTATATTAAATGGTACATACAGCAAGTATATTAGTTAACCATTAATATGAAAAAAATGTCTTGTTCATTTGCATTCCATAAGAAGAGTCATATTATCTTCCAAGTTTGATGTCTATAGGTGATAGGATCATATTTAATGGATATAAAAATAAAGTGATTATTTCAAATCCTATGCTGTGATGATGATCAGCCACAGAAATAGGTGCGTTTCTCAGTTTCAATCAAATCAGTTATGTGCCAGCATAAAATATCTTTCAGGAATACCCAAGGTTGAAGTAGATAGATTTCCTAGCACACAACTGCTTTTGTATGTGCACAAAATACAACCATATCTTGCGAGACGTTTTCTCATGAAATTCTCAGTAGTTGATGAGTTACCTTAAAACCCTGTTTTGTCATTATTCATAGCTAGACATTTTATAGCAGTCTCTGCTAACTTTGGCTGTTTTTAATTCAAATTTCTTTACATTACCTTGCGGTCCATACTGCCCACTTTGAGGTCCATAAGTGCTGCTGGAGTTGCTCTGCTGGTAAGGAACTGTACCGGGTTGCACCTGTCCTCCAGGCGATGGATGTGGAGAAACAGGAGGACCAGAATGCTGAGATCCATACTGAGATATTTGTGAGTTTCTTTGCATACCTGGCATAAAACCTACACAGAGGGAAAGATAGAGAGAGAGATATAAATGAGAGAATGGACACAAACATACACAAGAAAGAGAAAGGGAAAGCTAATAATAACAGCAAATTACAGCATTTGAAACTGAACAATACTTCAGGATATCCTTTTTGAAAATTAATGCATCGAGGTCTGCCATAGCCAAGTTTCACAGAAGAGAATTCTTATCATCCTTTCTTTCTATTAATCACCAGCATTACCAAAGTAGGCAAGTTTAACTAAGTTACAATGCTGAAGCCAATCAAATAATACGCAAATAAATTCATGGTCAACCTGCATTGCCATTGTGCTCAATGAAGGGTTACACCAAAACACTGACAGCGCTAACATCATGAGTTACTTTTACAGCCCTGCAGTTATTTATAAGATATCCAACCTATTATAACACTTCCTCCCTTTATCAACTCATCTGGATAAAGACATACGTGTTAGTTTAAATTTTAGTTATTTTGGTGTCCTCTATTGAAAACATACAATTAAATTGTGCTGTACAATGCAATTTTATCATAACTAAACAGCATGCACACCTAGGAAAAATACTTTTCAATAAAGATAAAATCAACTGGAACCAGAAAGTTACAAGTGGCAGGAGAATCATGCTCATCACTCAACATTACATATACAGCAGAAGCTAGGTATCAACATTGCTCACCTACCAGATGAAGATTCCCACGGTAAAACTATCTTCCAACTGGAGAATGGTGCACACAGTGGTCATAGAGAATTTGTAGCCCCAGACTATTTCAGCCTACCCTAGAGCATGGAGAGTTATTAACCTATTCTATTAACTGCCCTAAATAAGCTAGGAAGAAAGTGAAACCAAATGCAGTATCAAAAAGTATTATAAATCCTCGTAATAAGAATCGCTTCATTTAAACATTAAACAATTTTTATGAAGCAAGGAAATGATTAAAGGAGCAAGTTATGACTTTATTCTAATTGCTCTATTAGCCATGTACAATACAGAAATAAACACATTTGTTGGTTCACATAATTTTGAATCATTTCCTTCCATTGGCTTTCCATAATCTATAATTAGTGTGAAGAAAGATCAGGATGGTAAGAAAACTTTGCATGTTATGGCAATTAAAGTAACCTGAAGGTTGCATGTTTGAAGCTGTCTTAGAACTGAAAAAAAATTCTCACCAAAACCTACCTTGAGATAATTATCTCTACTGGAAAGACAATGGCCTACTGCTATTATTGCTAGACTATTAATCCAGACAAGCAGGACCGAATCCTGCCATGGGACTTAGTCTGTTGTCAGGTACTAGGGAAATGACTTGAAGTAATGCTGATAGGGAATCAACATTGGAGGAGCCGGAGTCCCTACACTGATGTTCTAGCAGCCTACCTGGATAAGATCAGGAATGAAAGAGTGGATGAGCAATCTGACCACAGCATCATAATTAAAGAGATAATTCGAGCTGTGGAAACAGGAGGAATGTAGTCACTACTGGGAACAATATATTTAGGAGATTTGATACTGTTCTCTGCAGCCAAAAGCATATGTCCACAATGTCGTGTTGTGTTGTCTGCCTAGTGCCATGGTTGAGGACAGCTCCTCAGGGGTAGAGAGAACCTTGGAATGGGAATGGAAAGATCCAGACCTTGTGGTAAATGTGGGTACCAATGACAAAATGTAGGACTCAGGATGTGGTTTTGTTTGAGGAGTTTGAGCAGCTAGGGACTTAAGTTAAAAGCAAAACTAGAAAAAGGTATTGATCTCTAGGTTATTACTTGAACCACCAGCAAATTGGCATGGGGTAAATAAAATCAGAAAGTTGAACATTTGGCTCAAAGACTGGGTGAGAGAAATGGATTTCAACTCATGAGCTACTTGTGCCAGTGCTGTGGAAAGAGAGAGATGTTGCAATGAAACCGTCTTCACCTGAACAATATTGGGATTAAAGTTGTGCCAATCAAATAATGAGGGCTATACAGAGAGAGCTTTGAATTAAATTGTGGCCACGGGAAGGAAAGTGAATTCAAGAAAAATTATAGTGGAAGACACTGATGTGGGCAATGATAACCAGAAGGCAACAGGAAAGGACACAGCATGCAAACATAATAAAAGTGATACCTGTAAACAGGGTACTGGTTGGGAAAAATAGTTGAAACAGATTTAAATGCTCTCTATTGGAGCAGCATTTGAAACAAGATAGATTAATTGATGGCACAAATAGCAACAGAGACACGGTTAGATGCTGACCAAAGCTTGGAACTGAACATTCAGGAGTACTTCACATTTCAGAAGGATAAGCAAAAGCGTAGAGAATGTGGAATAGCTTTGTAAGTAAGGAATAAGATCAATATAATCCTGACGATCCGATCAAGATATAAATCAGTTTAGCTAAAGATTAGAAAAATAGCAAGTGAATAAAGTTAACGGTGGTCCCCTAACAGCACATTCGTGAACAGAGCATAAATCAAAAAATAAATGGGGGCTTGTAAGAAAGGTGAACAAAAGTTTTAGGGATTTTTCAGTTTCATATAGATTAAACAAATCAAATTGATAATGGTAACCTTGAGAACGAATTTATAGAATGTTTCAGGGCAGTTTCTTAGAAAAATACGTTCTAAAACCAACCAGAAAACAGGCCATTTTAGATTTGGTAATTTGTAATGGGGTAAGGTTAACTAACGATTTCATAGCAAAGGACTCTCGAAGTAAAAATGATCGTAACAAGATAGGATTCCAAATTCAGTTTGACAGCGAGAAACATGGAGCTCAGACAAGCACCTTAAATAAATGCAATTGCAAGGATATGAAGACAGAGTTGGCTAAAGTGGATTGATGAAGTAAAATGGTAGATATGCGGTGGTAAACATTCTGTAGCTCTCAACAAAAATGTGTTCCGAGAAAGATTGTATGATCTGTGCCTAAAGCGTGGACGTTGAGTATGTTATCCAATTGAAAGAGAAGGCATACTAATATTATGATAAGACTTAAGGTTGAAAAAATTTTAGAAACCAGCAGAATATGAATTCTAAAACATTACAAATTCGAGACTTTATAAAACAGTTGGGTTTTAAAATGCCTCCTTTAACTTGAGAGATATAATGTTCCTGATGGTGGAATGGCAGCCATACTAAACCTCTGTTCAGAGACAGGACAACCAAATTACATTGGCCTAAGAAACCAACCCAAACTAAACCTACCGAAAATCAAGTGACAGTTTTCACACTTTGACAGTGAGGAGGTAGCTGCTTTTGTGGAATACAAACAGACACTGCCAGTGGATACAGAAATTTGGTAAGAATCCATTTATTTTTTGTTCTAAGAAAGGGAACAGAATGGGATTTTCAGAGATTTAAGGATCAAGGATTTGCTTAAGTAAGGTGTGGTGGTGAAGTTGGATCTGGAAGATTCAGGCTGGGTGGATTTAAAAGGACACAACTTTACAACCTGGAATGGACAGGAGAAGTGAGCCTGCTGAAAAGCTGAGAGTAACATTGTGCTTGTTCTTGCAATGCCATATATCTGCCAGAAGTGTAATGCATAGCATTAATGAATAAAATACCGTGACTTTGACTTAGGTTAGAACATAGAACAGTACAGCACAGTACAGGCCCTTCGGCCCACTATGTTGTGCCGAACTTTTACCCTAAACCTAAGGTCTATCTAACCTCCATCCCTCCTTATACTATCATCCATATGCCTGTTTAATAACCGCTTAAATGCCCCCAATGAGGCAGACTCCACTACCCTCTCCGGCAATGCATTCCACGCCCCTGCCACTCTCTGAGTAAAGAACCTATCTCTGACGTCTCCCCTATATCTACCTCCACTCACTCTAAAACTATGTCCCCTCGTAATAGCTACCTCCACCCTAGGAAATAGTCTCTGGCTGTCCACTGTATCTATACATCTGATCATTTTGTACACCTCTATTAAGTCAGCTCTCATCCTTCATCGTTCCAAAGAGAAAAGCCCGAGCTCTCTCAACCTTTCCTCATAAGGCATTCCCTCCATTCCATGCAACATCCTGGTACATCACCTCTGCACCTTTTCCAACTCCACATCTTTCCTGTAACGAGGTGACCAGAACTGGACACAATACTCCAGACGTGGCTGAACCAGGCTTTTGTATAGCTGGAGCGTAATTTCACGGCTCTTGAACTCAATCCCTCTATTAATGAAAGCTAACACACCATACGCCTTCTTAACAACTCCATCCACCTGGGTGGCCACTTTCAGGGAACTGTGGACATGAACCCCAAGATCCCTCTGCTCTTCTACACTGCCAAGAATCTTTCCATTAACCCTGTATTCTGCTTTCAAATTTGTCCTTCCAAAATGAATCACCTCACACTTTTCAGGGTTAAACTCCATCTGCCACTCAGCCCAGCTCTGCATCCTATCAATGTCCCTTTGTAACCTAGAACAGCCCTCCGCACTATCCACAACTCAACTCACCTTCGTCTTGTCCGCGAACTTACTAATCCACACTTCCTCTCCTTCATCCAAATCATTTACAAAAATCACAAATAGGAGAGGACCCAGAACAGATCTTCTTGGTACACCACTCATAACTGAGCACCATGTTGAATATTTTCCTTCCACTACCACCCTTTGTCTTCTAAGGGTCAGCCAATTCTGAATCCAATCTGCCACATTTCCCCCTTTCCCATGCCTCCTTACTTTCTGCATGAGTCTACCATGGGGAACCTTATCAAACGCCTTACCTAAATCCACGTATACCACATCCGCTGCTCTACCTTCATCCACGTGTTTGGTCACCTCTTCAAAGAATTCAATAAGGTTTGTGAGGCATGATCTACCCCTCACAAATCCATGCTGACTATCACGAATCAAACTGTGCCTATCCAACTGATCATAAATCCTATCTCTCACAGCCCTTTCCAATAATGTGCCCACCAGTGACGTAGGACTAACGGGCCTGTAATTTCCGGGGTTATCCGTGTTCCCTTTTTTGAACAAGGGAATGACGTTTGCCACTCTCCA